GTGTATTTTTTATATTGTATTTTACATTGTGAAATGTCCACCGGGAAATATGAAGACTAATTTTTTTTTTAGAGAAAAAAACAAAAAAAAACTAGAGCGGGGGGTGGGGTTTTGGAGGGAAATGGGGGGGGTGGGGGGGGGGGGGGGGGGGGCTAATGGGAATTTAGTTCACTTCAAATTATTGTTAATGGAGTGCCTACTCGCTTACATCTAGGCAAGAAACTGCTATAGGATGCTCTTTTTGATTGCCATCGAAATGCTACATGGCGTTCAGAATTATCACAAACACAAAAAGGATTAATTAGTAAACAAAAAGTTCTATTGACGACAGTAAACATGATGGAAGTAAACGCGCGAAACAGTAAACTGAGAAAGGAGTTATCATCTCTCCTTCTTACCCTCCCCTATCCTCTTTCTTACTCTTATTCCAGCCTGAACTAAGATCTTCTGGTAGCCGAGGTCAAAAACGTAAACCTAGATAAGGAAGAATAACGCTGCAAGCGCGCCTGCTTACCCAGGCTTTTCACGACATTCAAACGGTTCTGTTCTGATCTTTGTTTTAAATCCTTTGCGATTCTTTTATCCACCACCATGTGATCTATCAACTTGATGATTTCTTCCTCGGCGATAATGTATCCTTTACCAACATCATATCCAAAGCTCAACTGACGGTTGATAATGTTATTCACAGAGTCTATCAGTTTTGGAAGAACTGCCTGTAGGGAAAATAAAATGCTAAATGAGTTGTACGCCCGGTCGATTCGTTTCTAAAGTTTGTGAATTAAATCTCCCTCAAGAAACCTCAATGCGTTCTCTGATCTTGCCCCGTTTAAGGGAATTGGGATTCCGGAATCCACGATATTTTTGCTTGTGGAATCTGGAATCCGGGAAATTTTGAGTTGTGGAATCCGGAATTCTGGGCTTTGAAATCTGGAAAACAGCTCAAGAAATCCACGCTATCCCACTAACGATTGGAATTCGGAATCCAAGTTCCACTGACTGAGAATGCGGAACCCATGGCATGGAATCCAGAATTCAAGACAGTATTGCCTCCCTTACATGGGGCGACTGATCGTAGATTTGAAAATGTTCTCATTTTTCTTTGAGGTAAATGGTTTCTTAACGCAGTGACAGTTAATATTATTGGAATTGTTCCTGATACGAAAACAGAAGTCGAACAAAACAATGTGAAGGTTTGTTTCAAAATTCAAATCGACATGTAAATACATGTAATCGTCTTTTATGACATGGTTCATGAAACTGAACTTTTCGCGGTTTTGTTGGCATTCTTTACGTTATCAAAAACCATTCTAATAATTCAATCACGTGATTCAATGTGTTCGCACACACGCAATGATCGTAGCTATCGAGAAGACAAATTTAGACTGCTGACCAAAAGCGTTTTCTTTTTAGACGAGCCAAGGAAAACTTAAGTTGAAAACAACTATAGATAAATGGGGAAACAAGTGACAAGTTACTTGTCAGTAATAGATGAGATGGCCTACCTTGAAGAGCCTTAAAAGACGGCCCATTCTGAGTACTCTGAAAACTTTGGCTACTTTAAGGATTGATGGAGAAAAATTCCCTGTGCCTTCTTCGACTGCCTGGTCAATAATGATATCGATAAGGGACAATATAACTATAAACAGGTCGAGGAGGTTCCAGTAGTCTTTGAAGTAGTAACGACGAAAAGCCAAAATCTGTAAAAACAATATATTCGTTTAAGATTTGCAACAAAACGTATATTTCAGTAATAAAATATTCACAGTAACATGCATTTTATCTGTAGAAGTCACTGCACCTTTAGTAGGGGTTATGATATTTGACTGAGGTATAATTAACAAATGAGATAAAACATATCAGTGACATATTTATGTTTACTTACGAAGTATCAATTCATTTTCATATTTTTTTAGTAGTCATGTAACTTCCAACACAAACCTTAAATTAAAAGACAGCCAGACACCTACAAAACAATTTAGACAAAGTAGCTTTCAAATTCAAAGACAGCTAGACACCTAAAAAAGAATTTAGATAAGGAAGCTTTTTAGACAACACATACCTTCCAGGCCGCTTCACCGACGTATATGGTACAGTAAACATAATTGATGACGTTCAAAGTGTTCATGTAAGGAGCATCGTCGTCTGAGGCCAGTTCCAGAATGATAGGCACCATGTTGATTATGATCAAGGTATTCATAACGATGTCAAACGATACGTGTACAGCCACGCTGTACATGAAGGAAAGAATCTTGTTATTCGGCGTGGGTACCCGTTCAGCCGGTTTGTGGTGTTTCATTTGCTCCAGTTTGTCTTTCTAATGCAAAAAGAAATTATAGAGTTAAGACACGTCATCATCGTCGCCATCAGTACAACCGTTATCGTCAACGTTGTCATCATCACCATTTTCAACGTCATTTTATCATGATTATTACCATCATGATTATTATCATCACCATCGCCGTTATCATCATCATTATCATCAACATCACTAGCCCAAGATCAGAACTTTCCGAGACTCGACCGATCTGTTTCAAAATGCTGCCAAAAACCCTAAACTTAAACCCGAAGTTGCTGTTTTAATCTTCACCGTTTTTTTATTTGAATCGTGTTTTTTTGCCCTTTTTTGTTTTAACAGTAAATATCAGCCAATAGCCTTACTTATATACCCGAAGTTATGCTGTTTTAATCTGCAACATGAATTCATTTGAAATGTGTTTTTCTTTGGCCTTAATTATCACAGCACAGCAGTAAATATAATGAACTTTGAAGCTCCGTACCAAGTAGCCTTACTGATGAATCTTCAAAGCGTAGAGTGAGTGAGAAATGAAAACAAAATTTTATCGTTAGTAGAACTCAAAATATTATAATATACTATAATACGAAGAAAGACACGTACCAGCTTTTGTAGAGATGGTGGCACCCTCCAATAGGGCTGTAAGTCATCCACTTCAATAAAACTGTCAACAAAAAAAGCATTATCAATCCGAGAAAAAACAAGCTATACAAAAAGTTCCCCGTAGCTTTGTTGTCGAGCTTATATAACTACACGGTGCCTACTTTACGGTTCTTTAAACATGGATAACGTGAAGTTCTCCTTTTGGCGACTATCGCCGGAAAAGGGCTAAGATTTTGATTTGTCTTTATTGAAAGAACTGTAGATGGTGTAGATACAATTGAAATACTGAACAATAAACCATTTTCGTATTCCTGTGAACAAAAACTCGACTCGAATCGTTGGGCGTGACTTTTATAAGATTGGTCAACCAGGCCACAAGCTCCTTTCATTGTGTGAGCTCACTGAAAGGAATACGGGAGGGGTCTATTGCTAAGTTTGTTTCACATCCATTTTTTAACAGGTTAAACTGTTTCTAGCTCGAAAGCCTTCTCAACTATTTTTCATTTATGATCACGCATCTATGAAAATCCCTTCTTATCTTTTACACCCAGTTGCGATATAGATTTTTCAAACACCCTGTTGCCTGAATTAAAATGGAGACTGCCAGGGCCTGAGCTAAGTGCCTGTCTTAAACTTAGAAGGGTTTAAACTTTATAGGGAGTAAAAGAAAATTACTCAAGAACGGCTGGATTAGCTTTAGGTATCCGTTTCAAAGAGGTCTCACTCTTATACCACAAGTCGTCAAGAGAAAGTTGACTGTAACTCTTTATTCAGTTGTACCTTTCTTCTTCATCCATTGCAGTATCGGCCAGATTGATCAATGCCTGCACTGCCTCTCGAGACAGCATACCATGTTCAAACTGCTTCCAATAGCTGACTTTCAATGCTTTTATCAATCGCACTCTACCATCGTTTGCCATTTCGGCGAATTCTTTGGGCGATGGTTCGTTAGGAACGCTGCTTTCACAGTTTGGACAAGTGCTAAGGCGAACTAGCAAAGGAGTCTCTTCCGCGTGCTAAGAACAAAAGTACAGGAGTGTGTATACTATTAGCATAGGGTACGTGTTCCACAAGAAAGAAGAGCCTTCCACAATACAAGTCGATACAAGGAATCTAATTCCCCTGTGATAGTGAGCCAGCTAAAGGAAAGGTCTTATAATTTTTCTCTCGTAACAGCTCTGTGGAGAGGTTTTGTAACTAAGGAACGTCAACAGAGATGAAACAGAATTAACCTCTGTGTGTTCATGTCTCCGCCACGAAAGCTCTCTTTTGATCTTTGTTGTCGGCTGCGAGCACAAAAATGTACGAATATGGAACATGCAATTGCAAAGCCAATGTCTCTCCTCGTTCAGCTCATAAAGGTATTTTTGACGTCCCAAAAAGGAAGGGATTGTATGATCTATCGAACTATCAACCTTCGGATGATCAATCCAACGGACGACCTGAAATTCTAACTGAGTTTCTATTAACGACATAAACATGGTAGGCAAGAGATGGTCCAACCGTTCAAAGCTGCTTTTCTTTATCAATGGCAGTAACATTTTAAAAATGAAGCAAAAAAAAGTAGCCTAACACCAAATACATATTACTTTAGAGTGATTTTACTTGACCCGTGAAACTGATTATAACAATTAGTGCGAAATAGCTATAAATAAGCAAAAGAAGACAAAAGAATTACTGCATAATATTGCGTAGCATTCTACTACATATTTCACGGGTTAAGTAAAATCACTCTAATCTAAACAACCTAAAATTATTTTGGCGATGGATGATTGACAGTTCGATACTGATCCACCCGAACTGAATCATTATCCAATGGATTAACAAAAAATCGCCCCATGTAAGGGAATCCAGGGCAGTCTTGGATTCTGGATTCCATGCTGTGGATTTCGGATCACAGCTACTGGATTCCAGTATTTGCCAGTGGAACTTGGATTCTGGATTCTAATCGTCAGTGGGATTCCGGATTTCAAAACCAAGGATTCCAAATGCCATAAACAAAATTTTCTCGGATTCCGGAATCCGCATTCCCTTACATGGGGCGCAAAAAAACAATTGTGCTTCACACTGAATCAATCAGTACAATCGCGAGACTTGATCAACAGTGCTATTTCATCTTCCTCGGTTTCATGGTTTTGCGTAAGGTTGATTATTATTCATTCTCGAAGGGTGTTCTCCCGTCGATCTGCAAAAATTCTTCAGATCATACCTGAATTCAATGACTGCTAATTTGCCACTTGGAATTAACGAGAGAGGAACTGGACCCGAAATGCGTCTCACAATTGGCCCGATATTTTAACTCGGTCCAGTTTCCCTCTCGTTTCTAAAATGACGAATTACCTCGCCGTCGTCTATTTCCACATAAGGGTTACCCATTTCGCAATCTCGTTCAGCCATATCCCAGTCAGCGTCAGCCAGGAAGCGGTCTGCTTTCAGCATTGTAAGTGTGCGCTGATTACTCTCTTGTACCTGTCTCACGGCATTAGCCATGGCGATCTTCTTCGAGTCTGAAATCTCACTCATCCCGAGTTTGTCGAGTAACTTTTTCATCGTCGTGGCGTTGACGAGGAGGGTAAACATCACAATGGCAGCTGTGTGGGCTAAAACCTGAACAGAATAACAGACATGAACAATGCGAACTCTGGCAATCAAGCAACCGGAATGGAATCGTTTGGACTTTTGTGTTAACAGCGGGCACTATCACAAGACGTAAGGATAAGGAAAACGTAGACTTTCTCAAAGTCGTTCGCTTCTCATTTCCGGTTCCGGCAGTTGAGCTCTTACTCTCTCGCTCGCTTTTGCCGCAGAAAACATAAAAAATCTACCGCTCGCGCTTCGCACTCGTGAAAAAAATTGAGCTCCACTTGTAGGCAAGTCTAAGGGAAACGGTGAATACTGCTAAAAGTTCCTTTTGATTCAGTCGACTTTACTGAGGTTGTTGCTGATAACATAA